GCCTGAACTGTTTAGTGAGATCCTGTCTCTAAAAAAAAAAAAACAAAAACAGAAAACAACCCTTGAGAATAACAGTACATGCCTGTGTGTCGTAACTGTGGCCCCCGTGGCAAGGTGGAGGCTGTGGGCACCGCTCTGAGGGCTGGCGAGGGTGTAGGGCCGAGCTGGAGCCTGTGCTGCACAGACCCATGCAACGTGCTTCCTGCCCTCAGAAGCGAGTCGGATGTGACAGTGTGCAGTGCATGCTCACCGTGTGCAGGGCCACGGTCCAGGTTCGGCCCCAAAGTGAGAACACAGTGCAAGGGCCCAGGGGAGAGGGCTGCACAGAGCAGGCAGCACCGGGGACCAGGCATGCGGGAGTGCAGTGGCAGCTGGGGTGGGGGCCAGGAGGGAGAGGTGGGAGGTGGGCTGTTAACAGTGGGTATAGGTGAGCACCTCAGGCACTGCTCTGGCAGAAAGGGGCTCAGAGCACAATCCCCAGAGAGGGAAGGTGGCGGATCCACGCCTCGAACACGTACACAGGGCAGCAGGTTCCAGACACTTTGGTCACCAAGTGCTTTCTGCAAATGTGTGAGATGTGTAGCCAAGGTGGATTAAAGCTCAGTGCTCTGGCTAGGGCAAGGGAGTGAGCCTGGTCCCCGCCCCCCAGATTCTGTAGGAGCACAGTGCTCCCCGACTCTATGTCCTGCTGTGAGGATTTTGCAGTCAGGCTGCAAAATCAAGTGTTTGCCACTGTGGACCTTTGCAGAGTTTGCTGCCCTCCTGTCTGCACTGGCTGCTCAGAGTGCAGCCTGCACACCTGCACCGGTGGGATGGGCCTGTGCTCACAGAAGTGCAAGGCAGGGAAGGCCAAGGGGACAGTGGGAACCAGCAGTTGTGTGGTGGGCTAAGGGTCAAGGAAGAGCCCAGAAAGAAAAGAAGGGATCCACGGATGCAGCTCAGGCTTACCTAAGGCCCCGGATTCAGTCTTTGACACCAGAAAGTTAATAAGTTAATGAAGGCATATTCTACTTTTTATTTTTTTCTTTTGAGACAAGGTCTCGCTATGTAGTTCAAATCACATGTAGTACAACTCAAACTCACTATGGAGCCCAGGCTGGCCCCAAACTCGCCTCAATCCTACTGCCCCAGCCTCCCAAATGCTGGGATTACAAGTGTGCTCCACCATGCCTGGCTAAAGCACATCTTGCTTTAAATGTTGACATAAATGCCAGGAAAATTACTATACAAACTCACGAATGAACACATTTTTACAATCCCAACCCTTATATTCTTACTTTTCACTCTGAATATCTTGAAAAAGCTCTACAGAAATCTGCTTTGACTAGTTTTAGTTTGCTTTAAGAGGTCTTCCTCAAAGCTGCTCCCCCCACCCAGGGTCCTGAGAGGCAGGAGGGGTCCCAAGTGGGTAGCTGGGAACCCCACTTTACAAAGGAGATTTATAGGGTGAAATCCACGTAGGTACAATGTGGGCCACAGCTGTGATTATCCAATAAGGTTACAGTATAGTCACTTAGGTAATGGTGGTCCAATTGGGAAACAAGTCATGTAACAAGCGTGGATGGAAAGAACAAAGATTCTCCTAGGAAGTGGTGGGTCCAGAGGTCTCTGGTCACCCACCAGGGTGGCAGATGTCTATCTAGACTTCATTAGGCCTGGTGTCTGTCCTTTGAAAAACCATGCAGGCCTGGTCATCTTGTCTTTATCTTGAGGCCTGGAATCCAACAGATGCGTCTGTAGCCACAGTTGCAGTGTGTTTCACCTTTGTCCTGACCCTCTCGAGGACCTGGCCTTATCTGACTGCCTGTACTATTTCTTTTTTTTTTTTTTTTGGTACCAGGGATTGAACTCAGGTCCTTGTGCTTGCGAGGCAGGCAGCGGAACCACTGAGCTAAATCCCCAGCCCCTGCCTGTACTATTTCTACCTAGGTCATCTATCTATAATAACAGCACTCTGAGAAGCTGAGCCAGGAGGATTACAAATTCCAGCCTAGCCCAGGAAAAAACCTATCTCAAAATATAATTTTAAAAAGGGTTTCAGACACAGTGGGTTCAATCTCCAGCACTGAAAAAAGGGGGCAGTTTTAACTCTAACTGTATGCGCTAATAATATTTACGAAATATTTAGATATCTAAAATAGAAGTGAAAGCCAGGCATGTTAGTGCACAACTGTAATCCCAGCACTTGGGAGGCTGTGGGTTCAAGGCCAGCCTGAACTGCATGGTAAGACACTAATCAAATATGAGTAGAGTAAAAGGATTATTAGGTCTACCATTGGCAGAGCTCTCTCTATTCATAGTTTCAGGGAGTCAGATATCTAGGTGAAAGTTCACAGCAGAACTCTTGTCACTACAGATGCGAACTAGAGCAAAGTTCACAGCCCAACAGCCGGACGCGCTACCCAGCCACCTAACAAGACCAGTACTTTTTAGTGCCACTGGGGTGGGTGTAAAGTTTTAAGAGGAAATGACTCAGCTTTAGAGGATAGACGGTCTCAGGCACAATGAATGGTTGCACAAGAGAAAAATGACCCAGGCTGGGTGTCACAAAAGATGAGGCACGGTGTTGCTTGCTCAAGACGCATGTGTGGAGTCTTGGCCTCGAGGTTTAGCAAGACCCTGTCTCAAAACCAAAGCTAGGGGCCAGGGATTTAGATCAGTGGTGCCACTGCCCGCCTTGCAAGCACAAGGTCCCAAGTTCGATCTCTGGCACCAAAAAAACCAAAAAAAACCAAAACAAAACAGAAACACTAAACTTGCCCAAAGAGTTTCTGATAGAAATGAAGGTTCCGGGCACCATGTAGACCTCGATTCAGTAGGTCAGAGGGAGACACTCAGGTTGTACCTCATGGCAGAGCACATGCTTAGTATGAACGATGCCCTGGGTTAAATCCATGTTGCCAGAAAAAAAAATGCAATTAGAGCTAGATGTGGCAGTGCACACCTGTAATCCCAGCACTCTGGGAGGCTGAGGGAGGAGGACTGGAAGTTTAAACTCAGCCTGGACAGTTTAGCGGTTTAGTGGAAATCTGGAAATAAAGTGAAAAAAAGGCTGGTGGTGTAGCTCAGTGGGAAGGCCCTGGGTTCAGCCCATAATACAATCCTGGAGGCAACTAGACAAAACCCTGAAGCCTTTATGGCTAAACGACATGCCCCAGGGCTGCTTCCCTGTACCACCCTACCTTGCTGGGATCTACACACCTCACCTAGAGGCTGTTCTTGTCCTCGTGGGTTTGTGAAGTGAACTGGGGACATGAGAATCTGGTGTGAGCTGGAGGAGTTCGCCCACCTGGAGAGGAGGGTCATGAGTTTGAGTCCAACCTGGGCAATGAAAGATTTAGTGAGACTCTGCCTCAAAATTAAAAAAACAGGGTTGGGAATGTAATGTAGCTCAAAGAGAAGGCCCTGGCTTCAATCCCCAGTACTATGAGTGGGCTTGGGGAATCTGGCCCAGACTGGTCTCTGGGGCCTTCTCCTCACAGGCAAATAAAAGCAAAGGAAACTTGCTCAATTTTTAAGGGAGAAATGACTGAGAGTCTTATGCAAGGAAAAGACAGAGGCATTTTGTAGGTGAAAGTGGAAATCTGATAGGAAATAAAAACGTCAGATTAGCAACTGGTCAGAGTAGTGGTGGAATCACAATAGGCAGAACAAGCATTTGCTAGAGCAAAGCTAGAACATACAACGCCCAAAATTAAAGAAAAAAAGTAATAATTTGACTGTTTTATGCATTGTAGTTGTCAATGGGGAAAAAACTACACAACTTTTGGACCTCCATATACTTACTTTTATTGCTTAGTATTGTATATTTTTATTTTGAATTACAGAGAGGGGGATGTCAGGCCTGCCCTAAACCAACAGGAGAAAGCAAATAGGCTGCTTTTAGCAAACAAAAGTAGCTTCTCAGTAAATAGGGCAAATGGACTCAAAATGAAGTATACAACCCCCTGGCATGGAGAGGTCCAGTAACTGTGTACACACCTTAGCAGACCGTCTTTGGGCATCCAAGACATAAACATTTCACCCAGATTCCTTAGCCCCTATAATACCTACACAAGCCCAATTCCTTTGCCAGTTAGCTGCTAATATCTCTCTCCTGGTTTTAGCCCATCCACTCATGGATGAAATCTCTCCCAGCTAGCTGCCACTATCTCTCTCTCTCCCAATGTCAGCCATCTACAAACGGATGTGACAAACTCGGCTTTTCCCAGCTGGCTACTAGAATCTCCTGATTTTAGTCTCCCGATTTCAGTTTGTGTTTACTTTTTTCTCAAGACAAAGAGCCTGTTTTTTGACAAGTGGATTCTTTATGACAAGTGATACAGTGAATTTCTCGCTGAGGATTCTAGATAGTAATTAGTCCTGTGAAAGGAGTGTTTCTAAGGGGTCAATTTAGGGCTTTAAATGAGACAAACAGCAGTTGTGTGCATGCAACCTTGGTTCAGGAGTCCAGGGGAACGCCTCTGAGGGATTCGCACTTCAACCTCCAGCATAACAAACAGCTGGTTCCTGTCCTGGTCTCCCCACTCAGCTCCTCTCCCTTCCCCATAGGCAGGGGAGTCTGAGGGGGCTTTACCTCGAGACCTCGGAGGGCGTTGAGCCCTGCCGGCCCTGGTGGCTGCACCACTGTGTGCTCAAATCACCCTGGAATTCAGATGTGGATGATTTAGATTTTTAAAAAAATTTACTGCATAACCCACACATTAAAAAACAAAGTTGATCATCTTGCATAAAGACCCTGCTATCGTTCGGGGGTGACGTGGAATTAGGTCTTGGGGGGAGAAGGAAGTGTTCCGAGGCTCTTTACACTGCGCTCTGAAGTAGAAGCAGGCAGAGGAACGCAGCTCAGGGCGCGGGTTGAGTCACCGTCCGCGGTCCCTCCCGCCTCCGCGCCCCGCCGGCAGGGGCCGCACTGAGGCGCCGGGCTCCGCAGGGCGCGTGCGCGCGGGTACAAAAGCCGGGCGCGGCGGGCGAGCGGTGTGCTTGGTTCCGGCCCTACCTCCGGCTCGTCCCGCTAGGTCGGTGAGGGGCTGCTCCCGGCAGGCCTCGGCTCCTCTCCCCACGCCGCCGGCTTCCTCGGGCTCCAAGCTCCGCGTCTCCCTCCGCCCCGCGCGGTTCCTGAGCTTGGTCTGTGTGCCTCAGCCGCCCTCCCACGCCCGACCGACAGTCCCGCTGTCCCGGGGCTGGGAGCTCCCATGCGGGGTTCGGGTCCTTCGAGTCGCTCCCCAGCTTTGCCCTGGCAGTGACCGCTAAGGCGGGGTCCCTGGCTCCCCAGACCCCCGGCTCCCCCCCTCCCCCCCTTCCCGCTCCCTGGCTGCCGGCAGGCCGCGCCTGAAGCAGCTCCTCCCACAGGCCGCGCTCCCGGAGGAAGACTATGGCTCCCGCAGCGGTGGGTCTCCCTCCGGCAGGCGCGTCCAGCGGCCTCGGGGACGTGAACGGCGCCCTCTGGTTGCAGAGCTTGGCGGCCCGGGTGGCCGGCCTGCCCCTGCTGAGCTCCGCATGCGGTCTGTTGAGCGCGGCCTACGGGGACGCGAAGGGCCGGCATCGCTACCTGCGGGCGGCGTGCGAGGCGGCGGAGCGGGGCGTGAGGGCCGCGGCCGTGAGCGGTGTGCTGCCCGTGGTCCAGAGGCTGGAGCCGCACGGTGAGTTCCGCTGCCGGGCCGGGGGAGCAGGGCTCTGGGCCCGGTCCACTTCCGGCTGAGCCACCTTTTACTTTTATTGTTGTATTTCTTGTACATTACGTGTATGAAATAAATTGATTCCGATTTTTTAAAAAAGGAGTGAGCCCTAAGCACACGCCTGCAACCTCAGGTGATTCTCAGCCCTCCCGGGCGCACTGAGGTCTTCCTTTCACCTAGAAACCACCAGCAACCCTGACTATCGCAGAAGGCTGCGCCTGCCCAGCAGATGCCCATTCCTAACACGTCGCAGGGCAAGCTTAGAGCAGTCGGGGACATCTGACATTCCTGCAACTGTGCAGAGGATACGGACTTTCCATCTGCACAGAGATGAATTAGCATGCCACACATCCACCCACTTCAGATGTACAGTTCCGAACATTTTCCTTACACCGGAAAGAAACCTCCTACCAACTTCTGGGCTGATGGGAAGGCTGTGGAAAAGGGCAGTGGTGGTGGCAGTGAACTTCATGCCTCCTCAGTTTATAGTGGCAGGGTCTGGGGAGGGGAGGTCGCTCAGTGGAGGACTTGCCTTGCATATTTGAGGCCCTGGGTTCAGTCCAGAGTCACAAAATAATATCTTTGCTAGGTGTGTTGGCACACATCAATAATCCTCAGGAGGCTGAGGCAGGAGGATCAGTGTGAACCATCCTGGGCTACATGGTTCAGGGCCAGGTTGAACTATGCATCGAGACCCTGTCTCAAAACAAGAACAACAGCAAAAAGGATAAAATGGGAACATTCGTGGTGTAGCCCTGTAATCCCAGCTACTCAGGAAGTTGAAGGAGAGTACTACAATCTTGAAGTCAGCCTGCGCAATTTAGTGAGAATGTCTCGATATAAAATAAAGGGCTAGGATGTAGGTCAGTGGCACAGCACTTGTCTAGCATGCTCGAAGCCCTGGGTTCAATCTCCAGTACCAGAAAACAACCAACAACAAAGAAAAAAAAAGATTTAAATCAAATAATTCCCTTCAAGGGTTAAGTCAGGGACTTTTAGGAATATAAGGGGAAAAAAAGCAGTTATTCAAACAAAGCTAATTCTCAGGTGGATTTGGTATGAGTACTTTGCATGGTCATCTTTGAGGGGAAGCTTGTACTAAAACATGGGCCTTTGCTGGGCGTGGTGGTGCACACCTGTGCTCCCAGCACTCGGGAGGCTGAGGCAGGAGGATTGCTGTGAATTCGAGGCTGCCTGGGCTACATAGTGAGTTCAAATCCAGTCTGAACTACACAGCAAGACCCTGTCTCAAAAAACCAAAACCAAAGCCAAACAAAAAAACTAAATCTAAAACCTGGGCCTCTCAGGGAGACCACAGGTGCTTTTCATGTACTGTTTCCTGGTGAGAATCCAAAGTGTTCTGCTGTATGCTGGGTTAGGTAGGTAAACTAGCATGGAGAGGCTAACTTAGAGGAGGCTTGGAAACCTTATTCCTTGAACAAAGGTTCTCGGAGTCACTCCTCCTGGTGTTAACATGACGGCGATAGATGAGGAAGATGCTCCTTAGCCAACTTTCTGCTTGGCCTGTGATGCCTCTGCCTGCTGTCTTCTCCACCCCTTGTTTCCCTTTTAGAGGAGGAAAGTTGCCAGCAGTTTGCTTCTTCCTGTCTGTGCCAAAGAAACCAGGCGATGCATTTTTGTGGTAAAAGGTCAACATTCTTGATGTTTTTCCAGTGAAGCTAAAGGTATCAGGTGTGCTCATGTGTGCATTTTATGCCTACACTCTGACATTAACATTTTCCCGTGTGGTTCTCCCAGTTGCAGTTGCCAACACTTATGCCTGTAAAGGCCTGGACAGGATCGAGAGACTGCCCATCCTGAATCAGCCAACAGCCCAGGTGAGCTTGGGACCAAGGTGCCCCAGCCCGTGCATAGCCACAGACCTGCAAACACTTGTTCTCTTTTTTTGTCTTTTCCTTTTCTTTTGGTGGTGGTATTGGGGATTTAAATCAGGGGCTTGTAGGTGCTAGGCAAGTGTTCTTCTGTTGCGCTACATCCCCAGCCTTGGGTTTAGTTCTGAAAGAGTAATGGCCACTATTTTCCTGTGCTGTCGTCAGGTTGTATCTTGTCACCTTTGGCCAGAGCATGCATAGTCTGCTCTCTGTGTGACTTCGCCTCTGCCTGCAGAGCAGTAAAGTGGGCCTGTTACGTAGCCGCTTCCTGGGCAGTGTTGGATAAACACAGTGGTGTGTTGGTTTCATGCAGGGCTGATGGGGACCACCGTGCATTATGGGCAGCTAGCCATTATTGACAAAAATGAGCCTCATCAACCTATGGCCTTTTTATTCAGATAATGTCTTAAAGTTTCCTTTCAGATTAAGAATATAACATGGAACCAGGCAGGACGCTGAGGCAGGAGGATCAGGAGGCCACCCTGGACTACATAGCTAGTTAAAGGCTAGCCTGTATACAGTGAGGCCCTGTCTTAAACAACAACAACAAAAGGCACACAGCATAGTCTGAAATTATGTCATTCAGGGAAATTTCTGGCTCTGTCTTTCATGATTTATTTTATTTTATTTATTTTTTTAAATTTATTTTTCTTTTTTTTTGTCTTTCATGATTTAAATAGATACAGTTTAGGGTGCAAGCTTTAGAATGCTTGTATGCATAACTTTAAATTTTCACTTATATTGCTTGAGACTACTCTAATGGTGAGAGTTATTTTCTGTTTTTCCATTTTAGGTATTTTCTTTCAATTTTGGTGACCTGTGTATAATATTAAAAAAATCAACTTCCTCATTTAAACTTAAACAACAAGTTAGATGAGGTGTCTCTGTAAATAATTTCCCCTGTGGTAGAACAAGTAACTTAAAGATTTCTTGCCAGTGTTCTCTGTGGCTGTCCTGCTGCCATGTCGTCCTTGTTCCTGTCCCTCCCCTCACATGTCTCCCTTAACCTAGATGGCTCTGGGCTAGTGAGAGACATCTGAGACTATTTCCAGCAGGATGGGGAACTGGCCAGCCAGGCATGGTGGTGCACGCCTATAATCCCAGCACTTGGGAGGCTGAGGCAGGAGAATTACTATGAGTTCAAGGCCAGCCTGAGCTCCATAGTGAGACCCTGGATGGTGTACTGATAGCCCCTCCTATGTGTTGTGTGCACAGGGTACCTGGGATTCGCTCTCTCTCGGGCAGGTCTGAGCTGCACTCTGCTATGAGCATGCCCACAGGGAAAGTGGCACTTCTCTCTAGATAAAGTAACTTTGCTTGAAGCCACACCCCTAATATGTCCAGTTGCATCCAGAATAACCAGCATGCCTTGACTAATCTCTCACCTTTGACCTGTTTGCACCTTGGACAGTCTTTAAGAGTGGCACAGGTCTGCAGACACATGACAAGGAGACTCAGGCGCACTAAATGTCTGTGACTTGGCCAAGACCAGAAGTCGGGGTGAGAGCACTGGATTCTTCACCTCGTGGCTCCAGTGGTCAGTGAGGCGGTTTGCTTTTCCACTTGCAGGTGGTCGCCAATGCCAAAGGTGCCGTGACTGGGGTGAGAGACACTGTGACCAAGACTGTGATGGGGGCGAAGGACTCTGTGGCCAGCAAGATCACAGGGGTGGTGGACAGGACGAAGGGTGCAGTGAGCGATGGCGTGGAGAAGACCAAGTCTGTGGTCAACGGCAGCATCCACACGGTTCTGGACAGTCTGGTGGTGCGGCTCATGAGCAGTGGCTTGGAGACTGCACTCACCACGTCGGAGCTGCTGGTGGACCAGTACCTGCCTCTCACCGAGGAAGAGCTCGGTAATGGGAGCTGTGTCTTGCAGTAATGTTTTGTGTCTTAAGCAGTCTTTAAGACATAGTTTCATCTAGAGAGACTGTATCCCAAAACATTCACCTATTTGCAGTCTAAATTTTCAGAGCTGTGCAGCTATTGCCACAGTCCAGCGCTAGCCTGAGCTTCTCGCCCTAAGATACCCTTCATGCCCGTTTGTAGTCAGCCCTTGTGTCCCTTCCCAAGCCAGTATTAACTTGCTCTGCCAGTGTGGACCACTGTGGCCTGAGCATGCCTGTCCCACCCTGGGACTGCCCCACGCCCGATGGATGGTCACGCAGGCACCAGTGGTGGTTTGGAGCGCCCAGCAGCTAGACATGAATTACAGCCCCATTGTGGACATGTTAATCTTTCTGTCTATAGATTTCCTTGTCAAAGCAATCTTAAGTTTATTATTGACTTGAATATAGTAAGTTTTGAAACTTCAAGAGAAATTAGACTCAAAGTATTTTATGTAAAAGATTATCATTAATGGGTTGCCTTTCGGAGTCATCATTAGAAAGACTCTTCACTGATTGAGGCAGATTCGTTTCTATAGTGGGCCAGGCGTGCATTGCTCAGCAGCTCTCGCTCCCATGTGCAGACCCCTGTGCTCTGTCCGAGGTGCTGTAGTGTGTTCAGGGCACTCAGGCCCAGAAGCTGGCTGGCACACAGAAGTGCATGTTTGCCAGGGGGGTGGGCAGAACCAACAAAGTGAAGACCCAGGTTAGAGTTCAGGCCTCCTCACCTATAGTGTTGAGCCCTTCAATTTCTGTTGTCCCTGATTTCTAACTTCAGAAAAAGAAGCAAAGAAAGTAGAAGGATTTGATGTGGTTCAGAAGCCAAGCTGTTACATTAGACTGGGATCCCTGTCCATCAAACTCCGTGCCCGGGCCTACCAGCAGGCTCTCAGCAGGGTCACAGATGCCAAGCTGAAAAGCCAGGAGACCATTGCTCGGCTCCACTCCGCTGTTCACCTGGTGAGTACAGCGCAGTCAACCATTCGAAGGACGCTGGTCTGTCTCCAGAGATTAGAGGAAATGGGATCATGAAAACCAAGAATTCTGATCTTACAAGCAACCTAACAGAACACCGTGGGCAGGGAGTGCGCGGACAGCTCATAGAAAAGCAATAAAAATGGCTGAGAAGATAGATGAGTTACGATGGTCTTAACGAAGGTATCCAGACACCTCGCTTGTCCTGCAACACCAATGACATTTGATGTTGGTGTTTTCTTTTTTCTTTCTTTTTTTTTTTTTTGTACTGGGGATTGAACTTGGGACCTTGCACTTGTGAGGCAGGCTCTGGAACCACTGAGCTAAATTCCCAGCCCCTTGATGCTGTTGGTAACGATAGAGAGCAATACTTGTGTGCTTCTGGAGATTTAAGGAGGGGACTGGCTCAAGGGACTACTCTAGAAAAGTTATTGCCCATCTGTACCTTGGCCAGCTGTAACTAGGAATTTTCCTACAGATAAACCTTAGGTGTGTCTGTTTAGAGTTGCAAGAGACTGTGACAGTCACACAGCTGAGAGCACTCATAGTGCCTCACAGTGGGCTGTTGTAGCTGAGGAAGATTGCCAGGTTGCAGAACAGGATGTGCTGTCTGCTGCACCAAAACCCTTCTTGGAAGAGGAAATGGGTGGCTGGCAACAGGAAAGAGGAAGGTAGAATTCCTCCCTTTTCTTATAATTCAAACTTAACCCTGACACATATACAGATTGTTTTTTAGTTGTCTTACCTGTGCTAAACCAGAGGTAAATTTTGAGTCAGTGTTAAATTAGTTATTAGTTATATAGGGGCAGTAAAGAGCTACTACAGCTTGGTTGACTTACACATATTGATAATAAATAACAGTGAAAGCAAGGATAGTCCTCATTAAAATCTTATAGATATTTTTGGGTTTTATTGTATTTTTTCCCTCCCTCCTTACATTCCTCCCTCCCTTCCTCTGTTTTCTTTCTTTCTTTTTTTTTCTTTTGTGGTACTGTGGATTGAACCTAGGGCCTTGCATATGCTAGGCAAGTACTCTATCACTGAGCTACATCAGCCCTAATTTCCGAGTTATATCAGAGCTGTAAAGAGGCTAACTCAAATGTCTGGTGTGTTCTCTGTCTTCTTTCCCTGTGTTCTAGATTGAATACGCCAAGAGGAACATGCACAATGCCAACCAGAAAATCCAGGGTGCTCAGGAGAAGCTCTGTCTCTCATGGGTGGAGTGGAAGAGAAGCACTGGCCACAACACCGCCGACGAATCCCACTGTGCAGAGGTGAGGTGACCAGGACAGTGTCGCCCTGCAATTCTGGAGTTCTGCCAGACTTCCCATTGCAACTTTCCCTCCTCTTAGAATAATTTCCTTCTAGCTTTAGCAGTATTGTGTATATGAGTTGCTTGTTATGAGGAAGAAGCAGATGGGAGGAAGTGGCTTTGTCTGACACCTCAGAGGCACTGTTGCCCGCATTGCTCCACAGTGAGTGCGAACAAACAGCGAGTCAAAGCTGGTGTTGGGCAGGCAGGGCCCAGTCCCACCACAGCGGGCAGGGGCTGGTGAGGCCGCCGCCTCTGGGAGATGGGAGCCAGATCTGCACACCGAGAGTGAATGCCGCGGATGGAAGGGCAGCGAAGGGATGCATGCTCCAGACAGGAGAAGCAGCATCTGTGGTTTGTGACCCCAGAAAGTGCTTCTTTGTGTCTCCAAAGCTAGTATGCATTTTTTAAAAATTTTAAGTTAATTTTATTGGTACATTTTAGATACACAATGAAACATTCATCATAGGGAATTTGTACTGCATTGTCTCTTGAATTGAGTATCCACTGTGTATTCATATCATGCCTTCTTGTTTGAGGATGGAAAGTGTAAATTATGCTACTAGCATGGAGTATGTTTTCATTCTGTGTGGAGCCTCCTGCCAGCTGTGTTTCTTCAGGCTTAAGATGAGCTTTGGACAGTCAGGCTTTACCTCAGAGCCCTGCTCAGCTGAGCAGATTAGACTGAGCTTGTGCTCAAGCTATGAAGTGTGAATAAACTTCAACACTCCATGTTGTGATGAGAGTTTAAAAAGGCAGCGAATCCATCTGTGCAGTAGATTCGTGACCAGCATACCGTGACTGAGATGTTGCACGTGCCCCTGTTGGATCCTCGCTGATCCACAGGTTTCTTGTTTCTAGCGCATCGAGTCTTACACTCTTGCCATTGCCCGAAACCTGACACAGCAGCTGCAGACTACATGCCACGCCCTCCTGTCCAGCATCCAGGGGCTGCCACAGGGCATTCGGCGCCATGTCGAAGATGCGGGCCTGATCGCGGGTGACATCTTCTCCACGTTCCGAAGTGCCTCCTCCTTCATGGAAGTGTCTGACAGCCTCCTGACTTCTAGCAAAGGGCAGCTGCAGAAAATGAAGGAGTCTTTAGACGATGTGATGGATTATCTGGTTAACAACACGCCCCTCAACTGGCTGGTTGGTCCCTTCTACCCTGAGCTGACTGAAGCTCAGGATGCTCAGAGCCAGGGTGCAGAGCCAGGCCAGCCTGGGCAGCAGTCTGGGCACAGAGCTCCTTAGTGCTGTCCCTATCCCAGCTAACTTGGGTTACATGGAAACTTACCTGACAGCTGGCTCCCATTGGAAAGCAGAGAGCTAGGAGAAGGGGCTTCAGGTATAGTCGTGTGCAGCTATTCAGAGATTTAAAGTTCATCAGGTGGTAAGAAAAACATGTTAGCCGAGTGAGAGCCTGGCCAGGACTCGGATCAGGCACTTTATGGTCTTATTTTGTGGCCATTGTGTTGCTACTGTTAGTGTCTGTTTAAACTAAATAAAACTACCTTCCCATGGGCTCTGTGTAAACTGTTGGTTGCCCTGGAATAGTCTGAGTGGGCTTTCTTGGTGGTTTATCTAATGATGCATACTTGTACAACTTGATTTTAGTTTTTAGTCTTTATAAAGGAACACTGCCTTTGAAATCAATAAAATTTCAAGTAGATCGGTTTTTGTTCCAGGTGCTTTGTGTATTGCTTTTATAGAGCTGCTTGATCTGCATGGCAGAGTTACTGACACATCAACAAATTCCAGCTGGCCTGGTAGGGAATTTGGCATGGTGCTAGCAGTGGAAGGCTGATGTTACAAGTAGAGTGTCTGGTAACAGCTTTCAAATTAGAGTAATCAAGGTGGGTACAGGGCTCACTGCTGTACTCTCGGCTACTTGTAGACTGAGGTGGGAGGATCACTGGAGGCCCCAAAATCAAGATCAGCCTCGGCAACATATTGAGACCCTCACACAAAGGAAGAAGCTGGGCCTGGTGGCACATGCCTGTCATCTCAGCATTCCAGGAGGCTGAGGCAGGAGGATCACAAGTTTGAGCCAGCTTGGGCAACTAAACCACTTAAACCCTGCCTCAAAATATAAAAAAATCTTTAAAAAGATTGGGGATGTATCTCAGTATGAAAGCCCTTGGTTCAGTCCCAATCCTGCAAAGAGAGAGAGAGAATGAATGAATGAATGAGTGTGTACATTATAATTTTACTACATCGGTGATTGTTCCTTTCATTTGCCAATTTACTGGCTTCAAGAGTGGATTTTTAGGGCCGGGGATTTAGCTCAGTGGTTTCGATGCCTGCTGCGCAAATGCAAGGACCCGAGTTCGATCTCCGGTACCAAAAAAAAAAAAGTGAATTTTTAAGCCAGTGAAAAGAGCAAGTAATGGCTGATTGCCTTGCAGACAAGGAATCAAAACTGAAAGGAAGCAGTGAGTGGGTAACTCATTGTATCAGTTTCACATAGACACAGGGGCCAGTTATGAGTAAGCCAGCCAGGCCGGTGGTATGTACCTGTAATCCCAGCACTCAGGAGGCTGAGGCAGGTGGATCACTGGAGTTCTAGGCCAGCCTAGTGAGACCCTGTCTCAAAAACAAAACAAAACAAAAACCAACAACAAAAAAAGCATCAGGGCCAGGGATTTAGCTCAGTGCAGTGACACCATGCCTGCCTGGCAAGTGCAAGGTCCTGAGTTCGATCCCCAGTACTGGAAAAAAAAAGTATCAGCCACAGATTGTCCATTGTCCATTTTCAGCTGGCATGAGCTTGCTGTGTTACAATTTTGGGAGGAAGTAACTACCTAGAGGTCTTGGTGAGGCCAAGGAAGGTAATTAGAAGTAAAGAGCATTTGGGCCTCCTGAAGAAAGGGCTCTTTACCTCCTGGAGGCATCAGCCTCTGGCCCCTTGTGGTCGTCATGAACCTGACCATGGAGCTGCGGTGCAGCAAACTGACCCAGAAAGCAAATTACAGAACTGACAGTGCTGCAGCTGGCGTTTGTGCTGCTCAGGGTGTCCTTCAATTTGCCACCCTCTAGCATTTCTAAATATGTTCACCTATTCAAATAGAAAATTAAAATGATGTATAGAAAAAAATGTAGATTGTTTTTTTACAATTATTCATTTATTAAGTTAAAAAATACAGTAATCTACAATGTTACTTACAGTAGAAAATTTAAATGACCCATGGAGAAAAATTCAGGTAATTTTTGCCTAGATTTCTTCATTATATTAAATATATACTTTATTTTCCTTTCCTCTGTTAAAATGATGACTTTTGGGGGTGGATCTTCCAATGCTGAACCAACACTGCCATCCCTATAACAAAACCACTTTCTATATCCTGCCAGATCTGACCTCTAATAGTTTGTTTTGTTAAACACATTTCTATCTATGTTCATACTTTTTTCTTCTATTATCTTCATCCAGTTTTAGGATTAGCACAATGTTGAGTTCCTAAAATGAGGGGAGAAGTGTTCCTTCTTTTTTCTGCTTTGTTTGATATAACTTATCAGTTAAAATGTTTATGAGCCTGCTGTTGTCATATAGGTAGGTTTTCAAGCTAGGAATATACTTTCTTTAATAGGTGCTATTCAAAGTTTATATTTCCTCCAGAGTTAGTTTCATTAATTTGTTTTCCAAGTTACTTCTTAGAAGTTGTCAAATTTATTTCAAAAAAGATTTTTTGTAATATGGTTTCTATATCCTTTTAAATTCTGTAAAATCTGTGGTAATGTCTCCTAGATCTTAATATTGTAATTAAAAAAATGTATAGCTGATATTGTGTAACAGGAAGAAAAGGTCTAAAAGAGCAGGGGAATTGGGAGGGGTAGGGGAAGGGAAAAAAGGGCAAGGAAAAAATATGAGAAGAGGAAAAAATGGAAACAAGGTCTTTGCAAATAGGGAAGGGTGGAGGGGGTGAAGGGAGGGCAAGGGAAGGGGGAAAAACATAAGAACCAAGAGACTCATGTAATGGTACAAGATCCCAATGATGAATGTAACTGTATTTTACACCTAAAATGTACCAATAAAGTTAATGGGGAAAAAAAAAAGAAATTTAAATATATAGTTTAATTACGCTGTGAAATTTCTGCACTGTCTTACAGCTAGAAAGATATGTTTCTGGGACCCCAAGGCAGAGTACAAGCACTGACTCTTCTCCAGGCGTGGGTGACATGTGTGTAGAAACCACTCAGCAAGTTCGAGTGTAAGCAGCCATGCCGTAGAGATGCACATAGGAAACCTTAGCTTACTAATGAGTCCGGTTCAAAAGAGCCAGAAATTAATTACATAATTTATTATGGTCCTAATAAATAGTTCACTGATGTAAGGAAACACTAATAATCATATTAGTGATAACATTTTAAAAAATTCTTTACAAAACATTACAAATGTTGCCAAGAGTGCATACAGTAGAAAATGAGATAACATTTTTTTTTAAAGAACATAATAAACTGCAGATGTAGCAGTCATATTTGGATTTGCTGTGTTAAAATGAAGTAAATTGTTACAGTATGATTTTTCTTTTGGCTAACTATGTTCAGTAAATTGTTACAGTATAATTTTCCTTTTGGCTAATCGGGCAGACTGTGCTGCTCACTGAGCAGAACTGCCTGCCCTTCAGTCAAACCAAGGTCTTTTTTTTTTTTTCTCTTTTTTTGAGATAGTCAATTGTTATGTAGTTCAAGCTGCCTCAGCCTCCTGAGTGGTGGGGTTACTTACAGCGTGTGGCCACTATCCCTGGCTAGGCACCTACACTTTTAAAACAAAACATCCCTTAAAAAAAAAAAAAAAATCCCTATTGCTTGTAATGCAGATGATCCATTGACCACCGTTTAATAAGTAAAGGGAATATGAAAAAAAATGATTTTTAACCTGAAATTAAAAGGGGTGGGGGAGGGGAGGAAGAAAAAGAAAGGGATGGAGTGGTCTGTGGCCCTTTCTTTTTTCTTTTCTTTTTTTTTGGTACCGGGAATCAAACTTGGGTCCTTGCGCTTGCGCAGCAGGCAGCAAAATCACTGAGCTAAATCCCTGGGCCTGTAGCCCTCTTTCTAAACAAGATCCTCAGTATAGGTTCTCTAAAATGCCTTAAGACAACCTTGACCAAATGTGCAGTCCCAAATACTCAGCAGGCTGAGGCAGGAGGATCACAAGAGCAAGGCCAACCTGGGCAATTTAGCAAGATCCTATCTCAAAAGTTAGAAGTAAAAAAGGGTTGGAGATTAGCTTAGTGGTAAAGAGCCTGCCTAACATGTGCGAGTCTCTGGGCTCAGTGTCCGAACCACAGAACATTACTTGAGTGGATCACATCTGGGGATTGACACTGACTTGGTGAACGCCGTGTGACTGAGAACAGTCATTTAGTTTCGTGTCATCAATGCTCAGGCGCCCCCAGCCTGGGAACTCTAATGACACCTCACCTTGTTAGAGAAGAGCAAACCTCAGGGCAGGCAAGGTGCATGGCTCTCCAGTTGTTCAGTAACCAGTGAAAAGAACAGCACAGCTAACTGGCAAACACGCAGTTGAGCTGCACCAGCGCCGGTGAAAGGTTTCTGTTAAAACCCAACTCTGCCTGTGATCCTAGCACTCTGGAGGCTGAAGCAAGAGCATCGCCATGAGTTTGAGGCCAGCCTGAACTACATAGAGAGACTGCCTCAGAAAACAAAAAGCAACAACAAAAAAACCCTAACTCTGGGCCGGAGATTTAGCTCAGTGGTTTCGCCACCTGCTATGCAAGCGCAAGGACCCAAATTTGATCCCAGGTACCAAAAAACAAACAAACAAAAACCCCTAACTCAGAGTTAGTCTTTACACATTTGGCGTTACAACTAACCATTGCCTCTTTCCTGATCCTATTATAGCCTTATACATTTGAGTTACTTTTTTATAACACACTAAACATTTAGGGTTTTTTATATCATTATTTATACTCTAAAAATGAATGAAATTTTCTGATCCTGTGTCATGTTTATTCACACTGCATATGGACTCAGCTTTGTCAGCAAGTTAAATCGTCACAGATGGTGTTTCTGTTTGTCCAGTAGCCTCTCCTACCCAGAGCGTAGGGCCACCACTAACCCATGTTTATGAGTAAGAAGAAACATATTATAGCCAATTTCGGCACACATACCTGTAATTCCAGTACTCTGGAAGGCTGAGGCAGGATTGCAAATTCGAACCCAGCCTGGACAACTTAGGGACTTAGACACTGTCTCAAGATTTCAAAAGTCTGGGGATGTAGCTTAGTTCCAAGAGTTTGGGTTCAATGTCCAGTACTTCCACCATCTCTGGAACAAAACAAAACAAAACTCAGAAAAAATGAAAACAACCCCCTGCATCCTCGACATGTTTAGCTCCCTCTTCTGGAAATCAGTTGTAATAACTGGATCTATGAAGTCTATGGTAGGCTCGGTGCTCCTACGAGGAACATAGTGAACAACCCCACAAAATGGGCAGGTGACCCTGGGATTCTAGCACAGTCCTTGGTTATCTTGGAAGGATATGGTGTCCGCTTTCTGTCCTTGAAGGGAGGGCCTGTGGTTACCTCGCCAGTGCCGCAGATTTAGGCCTCTGTCCCTGACAGGTGTTCTCAGCAGGATACGCATTACCGCTTTGATGGCCCCAGGCAGTTCTTGTTTGCCTCCCTGAAACGGAGATTTATTTTATAAACCCTTTC